ATGGCAGAAAGGTAAAGAGACGTTTGGAAGTGGAGTATCCTGTCCATGCAATTTTTTTGGGGCAATGGTATGCATCGTTTATCCTTGCCTTCTTCTGGGTTGTTTTTCAACTTTTGCATCTTACTTGGACCTGTATCATTTTTTGATGCTCTCTCAAAGGAAGGGAATTTAGAGCTGGTCATGGGGAGATATGAGTGAACCATTAAGGAGGGATTTGGAAAAGAGATTTTCCAGTCCTGAGACAGAGGGAAGTATGAGAAGGAAATTCAAAACAAACCTGCCTGGATTTGGTTCACTGTAAGATGGGACCGAGAAAAACATTGAATAGGATTCAATATTTTGAGATTCTACCTGACTACAATAAAGAGCACTCTTGAATCTCTGCAGTGCCATCACTTTGCTTGGAAGGACCAAACTTCCTGCTAGCTTCCAAACACTGTCAAGGACATCTGGATGCTGATAGGCTGGGTAAAATCCCAAAGAAGGAGCTAGAGCCGAAGCAGTACCCATTAAATGGACGCTCAGAGTGAAGTAATAGTTGAATGTCCTTTCCGCACTTCTCTAGTGTTGCTGAACAATTCTATTTTGGCTAGAGATTAAGAGGCTATTTATCAATTGTTTTCAAGGAGCATATAACACCACTCTTCCCAGACTGATTGCCTTAAAGCTGTGATAAGGAGGCCACACTTCTATTAATGGCATATATGTGAAGGCACCAGCTTTTTCCTGGGAGAAGTCCCAGGAAAGGTTGGCACCACCTTTCAAATCTAGAGCAAGGCACGATAGTTCAGTCACTGCAGCTTTTAAAACATGCAAAAAACACATAATGCGGTCGAATAAGTAAGTACAGGATGTTAAGCTCTTGGGAGTATTTATACCAAGCCTGTCAATCACAGAAGCTGATCTGTACACTCCTATTTCCCTCATGACTGTAGAAAGTGATGAGTAGTGACGGGCAGAGAAATTAACTTGTACTTTATTCTAGTGCTTACTTCAATTTGATTAACAACAATATGTGGCAGAATTTTGAGGAGACAATTGGAATGAAATCCTCATTGCTGGAGTGTGATATTCTTACACTTATTTAATTGTAAAGTGGCCCAATATCTCCTATCATTCATCCTATAATTATCTCTTCTGGAGTCTGCAACCCTCTGGGCTTTCCATACTCAGTTAAATCCCAATGGAAGGCAAGGTGAGATAACTTTGCTGCTGTATTATCATCAAGGAATGCTTAATAAATTTGTCCAAGAAATTTTTGGAGAAACGGAGGAAAGGATCCACCCAATTTCTCTATCTCCAAATTGTGGGTGGGTGGGTGGGAGTTCGAATAGGCAATTTGAGCAGGGACTCAATAAAAACCACCAGAGAAAAAGGACAACGTTGTATCTTGGTTCCAGATTTCAGTGTTTTCAAATCAACTTTCAGAAGCCTCAGGAGTTTCAAACTTGGCAGAAGATTTCATTTCCATGTTTATATTGCAGACCCAATTGCATAATACCTAGACAAGAAAGGGAGGGAGGGAGGGGAAGGAGGAGGCATTTCTTTGGAATGGCAAGCTAGAAATTCCTGCCTACTTCTTGAAATTAAAGTCCTTCTAGCTGTATATTTATTAGGTATGTAAAGGCAGCCTTTCCACGGAATCTGTTTGAACTTTAGGGTGGCATGGAAAACATCACCCCAGCACACGGCAAGCACTTTTTATGTATGCTTTTTCTCCCTTCTCTTCGACAATGCATGAATCTCCATCCCTGTTACCTTTGCGCTTTGCTCCTTTTTTTCTCTTTTTTGCTATTAATTAAAAAGCAACAAAAAGTGAATAACCACATACGCTCACCGTAGGAATACAAACAACACCCTTCAAAAAAAGCAGCTGCAGAACATTTTGGAAACAAGCAAGAGAGAAAAAGTGGGGGGGCAGTGAATGACTCTGTAGCAACTTCTGTCTTACAGGAGAAGATAATACTTGTATGACTTTATCGCCATTAAGTACGACAGCTGACCGTTTTCTAGGCTTTCTTTAGGTTGTTGGCTGGAACATTTCACATCTCAAAACAGTAGGCTTGTCTAGCCAGTGTTCTGATAGGGAATTCCTGGACGCACAGGGCAAGGGGGTTGCATTAGTTCAGGGGTGCTTAGATCTCACCCATGGGGCCCATCCTGGAAACAACAAAGGACCGGCCCGCGGTGCTCCTCCCAGCAAAAATAGAGCTCGGAAGTACCGCACACGTCCTCCTTGAGCTCCGTTTTCACTGGCAGAGGGTTGCAGGAGGCCGTTGTGGCCGAAAACAGAGCCTTGATGAGTGATGTTGACCTGGCCATGCCCACCCTGGACACCCTCCCTGACCCGAGGTCAAACACAACCCTGATGCAGCCCTCAGTGAAATCGAGTTTGACATCCCTGGATTAGATGATCTTCAAAATCCCTTTTCAGTCCATCCCTTATGTTTGATGATATCGTATAGAACAGGGGTCTCCAACCTTGGCGACTTTAAGACTTGTGGACTTCAACTCCCAGAATTCCTCAGCAAGCTGGCTGAGGAATTCTGGGAGTTGAAGTCCACAAGTCTTAAAGTCGCCAAGGTTGGAGACCCCTGGTATAGAATACAAGGAGACATTTTTCACATTATAACTTTCTAACTGTCCAGAAGGCTTTCCGTTAGTCTGGCTTCCCTTTGTATTTTGGGAGTCTGGTTGGTACTTTACTAAAGAAAACAAAAAACAACAACCCCTGGAGTGTTTGTAGGTCTTGAATATCTGATATTTATTTGTGTATTTATTTATATTGATTTATATGGTCACCCATTAATGCAGCTCTGGTCTGCTAACAAACACAATAAATAAAACACAATATAAATTTATTTATATATAAATAAATAAAAATATATAACTATATTAAATATATATATAAATACAAGCCCAGCTAAAATATAAAGTCGCTGCAGTGCAGATGATACTCTACTGTACTAAACAATATGGGATTAGTCTCCTGGTTGAATCTGAATTTCTGAATTGAATTGAGTTGTCAATTTCAGGTCAAATTGATCACCTCTCAATTATGGCATTTTACCTATGCACCAAAAAGCTTTTCCCCCCTGCAAATCTGCTTTGCAAAAGCAGCAACAAAGTTTGCCATGGGCTGAGCTTTGCAACAGACTCTTGGAAATAAATGTACCATCACTTTGAGTGAATCTGGGCGCAAGATGCTGTTGCATAGTTTTTCATTGTCTGTCAGGTGCCCTTTCGCTCCTGTTTAACCGGGAGGTCTAAAAACAAGCATCTATTATAAAAAGATTGTAAGGCTATTACGTGCTTCCCCTGCTATGATTCTTTAACTAGTTAGCTATTAATTTCTCACACTGAACTACCAGCAAATTGCAGGGACAATCAAAGAATTCCACTAAGTGATGGATGAGAGTGTTATAATTTCTTCAAGCACAATGTGTAAGGTTCTTAATGTGCACACACAGGATTTTTCATTTGGATTTTTTTTTAAAGCAAAGAGAAGAAAGCAACAGTGGTAGTGATGTTGAGCCAGACAGAAGGGCGTGAAGAGTTCAAAAATCTGCACCTGAATTTTGGCATTTTCAATCACACTGGTGAAGCCAAATGACCATTACACTTCCTACTCTTCCTCCCTTCCTTTTCCCCACTTTATTATTATTATTTTTAATAAATAACTCAAGGCAGACTACATACATAATACTCCTTCCGACTCCTATTTTCCCCACAACAACCTGACAGGGTTGAGCCCAATATTTTACAACATTGGACTGAAACAGAACGACTGGCTCAAGACAATCCAGTTGGATTTCATGTCTAAAACTCACAGTCTCTTGGCTTTTAGACCTACAACCACTTCATCAGACTGGCCCCTTCCCTTCTTCTTCATTCTGAAGATCTATCTTAATAGCTACATGATCGGCAAGAGTAGCTCAATTTCCCCCCACTATGCACGCAGTCATATCACCTGAACTTGGTACAAAATTAACAAATAGAACAATCAAAGATAAATTCATCTTTGCCTAATCTCATCAATCAACTCTGTTTAGGAAAAATGAGGTAAGAAATGGTATTCTGATGTAGAAAACACATTCATATTCTGGTAAAAAGAGAAAATGGCTTAGGTCCTTTGAGATGTTTCTGAGGCCAAAGCTATATTACAGCACACAATCCTAGCAAATTGCTGAATCAAGTGCATTCTCCTGTGGCGAGAGCTCAGCATTTCAGAGAATATTGATCATTCTATTGTAATCTTTCCAAAGCTCTTATGGTTAAAAGATAGGATAGCTTATGCTTGTTTGTTTGTTTTTCTCCCCCAGGATGTAGCTACTTAAAGTTAGAGAAGTACAACGTTGCTGTGAGAATAACCATTTGCAAACTTTTTCCTCTAACAGAAAGTTTGAATGTCCCAAGTCAACCAGAACAATGAGGTCCAGACTCCTTGACGAGGATATAAATCTGTGTATACCTGGAGGGGGCAGATATATAAAGAAAGGGAGAAGGACAACAGCCAAACATTGATCTTCCCAAGAAGAGTTATACAAAAATAAATGCAGGGCAGTAATGAAAGAAGTGCATGACTGTTACAAGGCACTATATTACAGCATTATAGGACATTCTATTGTTTTTTTGGTGGTTGTCCAGAATTTTGCAGCCCAGTCTGGCACTCCCTCATCAGATTTAGGTGTTGGTGGAGAGGAAGAGAACAGGCTACTCTTTGCCATCCTGAAAGATAGTTTCCTAGACTTTGTGGACTGAAGCAAGTAAACAATGCTGCTCAAATTGTATGCTTAATCATATAGGTCTGCTCCCAGCGTGCCTACCCAATTGATTTTAGTGGGTCTGAAACCTGTTTAAATAAGCAAATCCAATAAATCTTAGTAATCCCCAAAGGCACAGTTGGAGCTGTGGAAAAATCAAGTTTGCAATTAAAATTGGAGGAGGAAAAAAAGAGGAGGAAACAAATATATTGATTCCAACAGTTTGCCAAAACTTACGTGTTTGTTCTTAATGCCAGCTTTAATCCAGCCAAACCACTCATATGTTTTACATTTTAGGAACTCCCAGTTCAGTTTATAGCTCTGGGCATCACCTGTTGCTGAACAGAGGAGACGTCAACCCATTTGCCTTTCAACCTGTGGCAAAAGATAAGCACAACGTGAGGGTTTAGGCAGGATTTTCCAGTAGCACATAGTCTGAGGATGATCCCTTCCCTTCATGCTTTGTGGACTTAGCTGTTTTTGTAAGGCAGGACATGGACAGCTATGACAACATAATAAATACCTTGCCATGTTCGCTTCCTGTTTCTAAGTGGCTATTAGCACTTCTAGAAGCACCTCTGGAAATTCACAAGCAGGACATGAGATAGATCCTTCCATCTCTAGAATTTGGTATCTGGAAGTCTATCCATTCTGGACTTCAAGATTCCATGTAGCAACGATGGTGGCCAGTAGTCAGGTGCAAGCAACCAGAGCCATGTGTAGAATTCAAGCTACTTCATTATATTCTGCCTGTTATACAGGAATCCCCCAGATTGCTTGCCTTCTCTTGGGAACAGATATGGTGCATGGGGATGGGTGGGGGGTAGAAGGGTGCCAGTCCTAAATCTCTTGCAAATTCACAATTCAACGCTAATCTTCACTTGAATCTTCCTCCCTGACTGGTGGGCATTTCCCAACAGTAGTCAATGAATGTGTCTGTTAATTTCTTCAAAGCCAGTTGGGGACTTAGCCGATTCCCATTCCCCTGGATTGGCAACTGGTGGGGCAGGCCACGATAGTTGACATTCCTGGCAGGTCCTGACCTTAGTGGTTATGTCTGTGTCTGTGCCTGGCCACCAGACATAACTCCTTGCCAGTGCCTTCATTCTGGCAATACCCGGATGTCCTTCATGTAAACTATCAATTATCCCAGGCCTCAACCTGCTAGGGACAATGACATGGCAACCCCATAATAAACACCCCTGCTGGGTGGACATCTCATGCTGCCTAGCTCTAAAAGGTAAGAATTTGATGTCTAATTTTCCTTCGGGCCAACCCCTTCTCACCCAGTCCAAAACCTGTAATATTACCTGGTCTCTCGATGAACATTGAGCAATATCTGATGCAGTCAGAGGTAACTGTTGATCATCTAATGAGAACACAGTTAATGATGGTGCGGGGTCAATTACAGGGGTTGGTAAGGGACAACGGCTCAAAGCATCCGCATGACTAAGGTGTTTCCCAGCTCTATGTATTAATGTATATGAGTAGGAAGCAAGGAATATTGTCCACCTAGTCATTCTTGGAGACAATACTGTAGGACTTGGATGATCCCCAGACAAAGTGCCTAATAAAGATTTGTGATCGGTCACAAGCTGAAAATGGTGACTGTAGAGGAACTCATGAAATTTTTTGACAGAAGCGAATGCTGCTAGGGCTTCCTTATCGATCTGTGCATAATTCCTCTCAGTACTTGATAAAGTCCTGGAGAAATATGCTATCAGTGCTTCCAGGCCATTTGGCAATTTGTGTGCCAGCACTGGGCCTATCCCAAAAGAGGATGCTTCGCAGCATAGTACCAAAGGTAAATCCCTGTCAAATTGTATTTACACACTATCGGATGACAGCAGAGCTTTAACAACATTGATGGAAAAGTCCTCTTTGGGCCCCCATGTCCAAAAAGCATTTGCATCCAATAATCTGTGCAACAGCTCCGCCACTGAAGCCTTATGAGGGAGAAAAGAGCTATAGAAATTTAGGAGCCCCCCAAAAGCCTGCAGCTCAGTCTTGTTGGATGGTGTAGAGGCATCCTTAATAGCTCTTACCTTTGATTCAATGGGATGAATACCTTTAGCATCTATGTGATATCCCAAAAAATCTACCTGGTTGACTGCAAATTTGCATTTGTTTTTCTTCAATTTCGAGCCTGCTTGTTTGAAACACGTAAGGACCTCTGAGGCATTTGAAAAGTTCCTCTTTGTTGCATGCAGAAATAAGAATGTCATCAAAGTAGGGTATTACCCCCAGAATGCCTTGAAGTAGTCTCTCTATAAGGCATTGGAATAACCCTGGTGCTACTGAAACTCCAAATTGTAATCTTGTACATTTGAAAGCACCATGATGGGTGACAATAGTCTGTGCCTCCGCTGTAAGGTTGTCAACCAGTAACTGTTGATAGGCTTGGGCCATATCTAGTTTTGCAAAAATAATCCCCTTTCCCAGTGAGTGCAACAGATGTTGAATTATTGGCACTGGGTAAGCATTGGTTTGCAAGGCCTTATTTATGGTACTTTTATAATCAGTGCAAATCCTGATAGAACCATCACGCTTCAAAGGTGTCACAATAGGGGTTTCTCATTTTGCAAAATCTGTGGGTTCTAGAACCCCTTGGGCTATTAGTTTTTTCCAATTCTGCATCAACTTTAGGTCTTAATGCAAAAGGAGCTCTTCTAGGTTTTAACCTGATGGGTGCTATATTAGGGTCCAAGGTAAATGAGATTAGAGTTCCTACATATTGATCTAAATAACTAAATTGATCGTCACTAAATAACTCTTTAAAGTCATTTAATAAGGCTTATAAATCCTGATCCTGAATGGAATGTATTCCAGATACTGTAAGTCCCAAAGATCTAAACCAGTCTAACCCTATTGGCTTGGTAGGGTGCCTTCTACTATTGTGAGAGGAAATAGTCCCTCAACATTTTGAAATTGGATACTAAATTTTCCTGTGCCAATTACTGGAATAGAGCGCCCTTGGTAGTCTTTTAGGGACAGTTTGCATGGCTGGAGACGTTTCTTTGTGATGGCAGGAACTAACCTTTTTAAAGTGCTCCAGGATACAATGGATAGCGATGAACTAGTATCAACTTCCATTGGACACTGCTTTCCTTCTAAGGAGACAGTTGCATGAATTTTGTTAGTGTAAATCTGGTTAGAAAAATTGTTAGGCAACTTAGAATTGTAAGAAGCCCTAGTAATAGTAAAACATTCTTCTTTTTGCTTTTGTGATCTAACTTGAGGCTGGTAATGTGGATTAAAGTTTTTTCCAGATTTGCAAACCCTAGTTATGTGTCCCTTTCTTTGGCATTTTAAACAAATTATGTTTCTAAATTTGCATGTGGATCTTAAATGATTACCACAGTAACTCAGGCAGGTTGTTTGTGGTTGCATAGGTTTGTTATCAGGAATCCAATTCTTTCGCTGTGGTGGGGGCTGCCCTCTGAGGTGATTTACATCTTCGTCGGTTTCAGAAATTTTGTCAGGGAAACTGTCATCGTAATGCATGGCAGCACTCGGTTTGGTTGTAGCATTGCTATTAGAGCCTTGTATCTCAGCAGCAGAGATAATTGACATTTCTGCTGCTTGAGACTCCTCAACAGCCATCTTAAGGGTTAAATCGCCCTTGGCAAGCAAGTGTCTTTGAAGCCTGAGATCTCATACACCACATACTAATTAATCAAGCAATTGATCCTCGAGATTCTGGAACTCGCAATGTAGTGCCGCTTTTCGGAGGGCGGCCATGTAGGTACTGAAAGTCTCTCCCTCAGCCTGTACTTGTCTCCTGAATGCGTGCCGCCTCACAATCCTAGATGGTTTAGGTGAGTAATGATTACTTAAAAGTTCTTGTAAATCTTCCCAGGATACCGCTTTAACAGTCTGAGGGGACAACAGCGCTGTGGCGGTATCAAAAACTGAGGCCCCGTAAAAGCTTAGGAAATACGCTTTTTTCCTATGGTTTGAAATCTCAGACAAATCAGCAGCATCTAGGAAACAGTCAAAACGATTAATGTAAGATTCCCAAGTTTCTGACGATGGGTAGAAACACAGGAATGTCGGAGCAGTGGACATCTTATCTATCCTGAGGTAACAAAAAGCAACAACACTACCTCCGGCTCTGTCCTTCCTCAGCTTTCAGACTGGCACCCCATCCTCATCACCAATTTTGTAGTCTTTTCTAAGAATGAGCTGAGGCAAGCATTAACGAATGATCAGTGTTTATTGTAACAAAGAAACAGGTTACCCGCGTCAGCCGATATACTGCCAAGCTGGCCAGCTGACAGGTAACAGCTGATGCCATCTGATAGCTCCCTTTTATAGGGAGTCAGGCTGCTCAGCCAAAAGGAAAACACAAAACTCCTGCTTAAAATGCGGACCAACAATGGAACTTCCATAGAACACAATACTTCTACTTGGTACCACTACAGGCATAAATGATGAATCCCTAACATCCTTAATTTTATTCTACTTATTCTCACAGTTGTACTCTCCCTCCTATGTCTTTTATTCTTCTTGTTGTAGGGATATTTTTATATCTCTCAATCAGAAGTTATAATGCAGTAGGAGAACCAGATATATAGGGCTTATTGGAGAATTTTATAACCAGCTATGATCCAAAACTCAGAAAGAAGAACTTAAGGGTTGTTAGACTGTCTAATCAGTTATTGCTTAATGACAGGCTTAAAACCTATCTGGTGGAAGGGATCCAGATAATTGCTTCAAGTAGGAGCTTTTGAGCTGATTCAGCTTTACTTTCTCCAGCACCTTCCTCAAAAAGGGAAGGTTAAATACCTGGCAAAAGTTAGCCTGATCAAGATAGGGTTTCTTCAAGAGACAGCATATCACCATTTCTTCCAAGGCTACTATGTCTCCTCTCAAAGAAGCATTCAGCACCTCTTGACTTTAGCTACTCATACTCAGCCAAAGAAGCCATGAAGGGCCTGGATCTAGCAACATGTGGTGGAAATCTTATTACAGAAGATTCTATGCTGTTAGTCTGTCTCCACAAGGTTGAATGACAGTGTCACAAGATGTTATCCCAGATCACGTTAGACTCCATTTAAAAGGTGTCTGAGGAATATAAGTAATTTACTATATTATGGTAAATCTTTATAAGGAATAAATTGGGGTAGTGTATAAGGCAAAGGGGGTGGCAAACTCAAATTGACAATTAAAGGGGACAACTTTTGGATTACTAGAATTAGGATGGAATCTATTGAACAATGAATGGAATAATAGTATGAGATAAAATTGCAAATGTGACAGATAAAAGTAAATATGTGTAATGAATATAGAAATGAAATAAGAAATTTAGATAATATTGTAAAACAAGATATGAGAATATTTAAAGAAAAATGAAAAAAGTTATGATATGAATTGGAATTGGATAAAACAAGTATAATGAATATAAGAATATTTGAGAATATTTAAAGGAAAATGGAGTAAGTAATAATGTGATATGAAACTGAATATGAAAGATGAATATGTAATTATGGTCATGTTTGTATTGAAATGTAAAAACCTGGAACCACATTGTTCACCAAAAGAGATGTTTTTTAAAATATAAAAATACAAAATTTATTGGGGGGAAAAAGAATATAAGTCATTTTATTTGCAAAGAATCTAGCAAACATGTCACAGAGACCAGCAGAAGCATTGCCCTTGACCGGGGTGGGATTCAAAATTTTTAATAACCGGTTCTGTGGGCGTGGCTTAGGTAGTGGGCGTGGCTTGGTAGTCATGTGACTGGGTGGACATGGCTTGGTGGTCATGTTATTGGCTGGGCGTGGCCAACTCAATATCACTCACATCAAGGCACGCATCTCCTCGCCTGGCCTCTCATGACTGTGGGGATGCTGCAACAGTTGTAAGTGGTAAAAATGGTCATAAGTCACTTTTTTCAGTGCCATTGTAACTTTGGTCACTCCACACAAGCAAAGTACCAGCAAAGGAGGGGGAAAAAACTCCAGAGAAGTTCCTGAGACAGGAAGTCTAGTCCTGCCAAGAATGTAATAAGGGTTAATGGAGAGGCAGTTTCTGTAAGCAACACCAGAATGTTTCCTTCCTGCCTTCCTTACAGGATTAGGCCAGTAATTTCTTCTAACAACCGGTTCTCCGAACTGCTTAGAATGTTAACAACCGGTTCTAGCGAATAGGTGCGAACTGGTAGAATCCCACCCCTGCCCTTGACCATTCCTTCCCGAAAGGAACAAGTCATCCTGACCACTGGGCATAATTATCCTTTTAATTTTCCAATAGGGTGCATAGTCACTATCTTTCCAAAACCACAACTTTCCCCTTCTCAAACATTCTTGCTGAATCTTCCTTTTGTAAACAAAATTGGGATCAGTGTCAAATGAAGTGTAGTTGTATTTTTAATACAAGATGACCCTTCCCCCTCCCATGATCAAATAATGTTATGGATTGGGGTCTTCCAATTGGTCAACTTCTCAATATATCTCACTTGTTTCAATGGATGGTTAGTTTCTGTTTCAAGGTCAAACACCACTAAATAAAGCAAAAATAAACAGCCTAAATTTGCTAATTGACCAGGATATCAATTAATCAATGAAAAACTGAACTACTGCTAATTAACTTGGATCAATTTCCTTCCTGTTCTATTTATGTGGACTACTCTATGAGAGGGAAGAATCGCAAGGAAGTCACTGCTGTACAGGGGAATGATCTAGAAAACACAATTGCTTAGATCAATGTTAGGTGTACCGCATAGGAGAATCAGGAGGATTGTGATATACAAGCATTGGCTTCAAAAAACAAAACAAAATCCAATCAAACATCAATTCTATGATATTGAGTTCCTCAGGTGTACATTTTCATGAGAAACAATTGGGGTTTCTCTCAAAGCATTGAAAAGCCATTTTCCTGCTGTATCAGGCTCTTGATCTCTCTTCAGAAACAAATAATCCTTAAAAGCCAGAGCTTGCAAAACAGTTCTAAATGAACAAAAATTCTAAAAGTGCAGCTGGCGAGCTTAAAAGCTTTTGTTCAAGAGATGCACTGCCTGCAATAATTACCATCCAGAGGCACATGGTGCTTTTCCATCAACTGTAGGACATGAGCTACAAGAGCTGTGAAATCCCATTTGAGCTGATCCCTTGCATTAGCCACAGTTGTTAGAAATTCATCATGTATCATTTGGAAAGCAACCTGAGGCAATCCAGCTGCAACCAGTAGCTTCCTTGGCTTCCAAAGTCATCTTTCCACTGAAATGAAAAAATGGGGCAAGAAATCACAAAACATCAAAGAGTTTGTGACTTTTTGATAAATCGCACACAATTCTGCTGGAGTGTTTTTTCTTTTCTGAAAATATTTTCCATGTACGTAAACTGGAATTCCTCTCGGAATATAAATTAATCTAGGAATAATATTCATTTTGAGAGTGTTCATCTATCCCCAAAGAGTGAGAGTTAATGACTCCCATCTATGAATATCTGAAGAAACCTCTCTCTCTATTTTATTTATATTACACGTTGCTAATTCGGTTGTCTTTTTGATATACAAATACCTAAATATTAAATTGATTCAGTAAGAACACAAAATTGATATTCCTTAAATGGATATGTAAGCCAATTTTCACCTATCAGCATCAATTTCAATTCGGACTGGCTAACAGAATAGATGCTAAAGGCACCTATCTTTTGCATTAACACAGGAATAATAGTATGAGGTTTAGAAACAAACAAAAGAATGTTGTCAGAAAATAAAATCAACTGTGTTCAACTGAGTTATATATTACTCTGTAGAACTCTCTGTGTCATCTAATAGCACAAGCCAAGAGTTCCTTGTAGATATTAAAAAGCAAGGGTGGAAGTGGGAAAATAAAGAGGAAATAAGGATAAGAAAAAAACTTGCCTCTACTTTAGATGCAGGCAACTCACATAATATCTTAATTCATATTAAGATATTAATATTTTCAGAAAATATTTTTTTGTTTAGAAAATTTCTATGGGGGTTCTTTCAATTTCCAGAATATCTTTATAGAAAATGCAATTATCAGTTAATGAGGGAGGCTTTGATGTTCTGAATCTGGAGTTATATCATCATGCTTCCTATTGTTAGCAGAGCAGATATGAATGCAATTTGTAACGATTAG